CTTATGTATTTATTTATGTCCAGATATACTTGTACGCATATATGTAACAATAATAAATTTTGTTGTACATCAGTGTATTGGTATGTGTGCGGGAAAGCAGAAAATGTCATCGAATTATTTTATGAGAATTTTATGAACTTCAGAGTCGCCTTGGGAGACGACCACATATATTTCTTACATGTCTTTGCACGTTTATACTTTGGTCTGTACATTTGTAAAGATTTGAAGGGTGTTTCTTTACGAGATTTGGAATTTTGTAGTGTTTGATATAAACAACCATCAAAGGATCTTTTATGATGCTCCTAATCTTGATATTCAGCAGTCAGTTTAAATGGCAGTTATATGCTATAGTGGTACGATCTTAAAAATTTGTTCGAAGATCATAGCGTTACCTTGGACAATAATCTGTCCCCATTTTTGTGAAAATATTTTCACAAATAAAAAGTTTTCCTTATAAGGACGTAATTTCGATCGTACAGTTTGTATGGCAGATATATGCTAAAGTGATCCGTTCTAAACTATTTCTTCGGAGATTGCATGATTGCTTTGGCAAAAAACCTGTACTAAATTTCGCGAAAATATCTTGTCAAATAAAAAAGTTCTCTTCGTCTTCATTTTGATCGGTTTATATGGCAGTCATATCCTGTTTTGGTCCGATCTCGGCGCTTCAGACAAATGAGCAGCATATTAAACAGTGCAAAATTTTAGATCGATATCTCTAAAACTGACATGGCTAAATCGGCTCAGCTCGCCAAGCTGATCAATTATATATACACATAAAAGGATCTCCGACGTTTCCTTCTGGGTGTTACAAACTTAACCGGGCACAACAATGGATCAAGTTGGCATATCATGTGATTTGACTTCTTTTTGCGACGGTGCTCAAGTCAAAACTCAGTGTAAATAAATCAGGAAAGAAGAAGCCACGGTAACCAATAAAATTCCCTTCAAAAGTTTATATATTATAATATATGTACATATAACTAATAAAACAAAAACATTCAGAATTTCATTCTTTTCGTTTTTTATTTATTTTTTCATTTTATGAAACAGGCACCCTATATTATGCATAATAAATTCACTCGTGCATGCAAATGGGTGAGGGCTGCCAAGGTAGCAGGAAATATGCATGGAAGATGAAGCAAAGCCAAAGAGATAAAGACAAAGCTGCGCTGCAGCCCTCAATACGTGTTCTTTATGGGGTTATGCTATGGCGCACTACAAATGCATACAATCACATTTAGTGGCAGCTGTTTCAGCTTTTGTGGCATTTTCTTCTTTTATTCAGTTGCTACACGCTCTGTCCCTCGCAGTTTCTGTACCGTTATTTGCTTATTTATTGCACCCTCGCATTCCTTTACTGTGTGGCCAACTGACTGCCAACCTGATTTTGGTTTTATTTCCAACTTGAATGCCTTTTTGATTAGTCAAAAATGGTTAAAATCGCGAATTTTCCGTATTTTTGTTCGCTACTGACTTACGCACGTGCAATACTATAAGCGCATTGGGTTTGTCTAAAAACTAACTAACAGTTAAATTAATTTTTTTCTTCTTGTTTTGTATAACTTGTGACTTTAAAGTGAAAAATATATTTATGTATACTCGTATTACAATATTAACATAAAAAATATCCCAAGTTATGATTAGGAAACCTTCAAACTTTTTTTTGTCAAATATATATATTATTGAAAATATTTGTTTTTCATTACGGAGTGTTTTTGTGTACGAAAATATTATTTATTAACCCTTTCACTAAAGCCCTCAAGTATTTTTATTCTTTTTTAAATATTTTTCACCAAAAAATGAACACAAAACTGTAACATTAATCCGCTGTTACAAGTATGTTTGTCAAAACTTTCAATAAAGCATTTTACGAAGACAAAAAAATATCTTTTTATAAACTCTCTAAGGCATTTGGCGTATTTTCGTTTTTGTTGTACTTTTTTTTTTTAATTAAAAAATTTTTTTTTTTACTTTTTTTATAAAAATTGTTATTCAAATTTTTTTTTCAAAATTGGTTTCAACATTTTTTTGTTAAATTTTTTTTTTGTTAGATATTTTTTTCTTTCAATATTTTTTTTTAAATTTTTTTTTATACTTTATTTTAAATTTTTTTTTACATTTTTTTTAAATTTTTTCTAAAACATTTTTTAAATATATTTTTCTAAATATTTTTTCAAATTTTTTTTAAATTTTAAAAATACTTTAAAAGCTATCAACGCTCTCACGGAGGCTACATACATACATATGTACGCACCATTCTCATAACAGTCAATTTTACGTACTATAATAATACGTATACACTACATTAGAGTCTCACTTTTTCTCATACATATGTATCTATCTCCGGCTTCTTTTTTAATACAAATGGGCAACATTCTCCCAAAAAAACTGTTGGATTGTGCTTAATAAGGTTGTTTTTTAACCAGTTTAGTAGAATTATCAACACACTTTAGACGAATTTTTCGAAAAAGTGGAAGGAAATGAGTATAAAATAAATGTATATGTATGTATCATAAATATCCTAAACATGTTGGTTTGGCGTACATTAATATTCAGTATAAAAAACATATAAACATAAACACATTAAAATATATTAATAAAATTCGAAATTATAATTTTACTCTATAAAAATTTTAATTTTTGCGTTATATAAAAATAAAAATTCAAATATTTGCAGTAAAATATGTACATATACACTAGGGGGGAGCGAAAAAAAACTTTTTGTTTTTTGCTTAGCCTGCGGGTAACATATGTAGATTATAAAAGAAGAAAAATTTTGGACAAAAAAAAAATGTTTAACATCTGCGGCGGATTCGAAAATTTACTTGAAAACTGAGATACATGTTAAAAGAAATTTTTTTTTGTCCAAACATTTTCTTTTTTTATAATCTACATATTTTACCCGCAGGCGAAGCAAAAAACAAAAAAAAAATTTTCGCTCTACCCTAATATACACATTAATCAATGTAAGCCCCTGTGCACACACTTTTCCGGCAAAACATTTTTTAACTATTAGTTACTTTCTGCGAATTTTTCCGCCGACACGTGCGTTTGAGCTTTTCCCCACGACCTTGCAACTATAGTTACTCATACGCCATGGTCATACACCAAAATTGCTACTATTATTAGTATTGTTGCAGCAGTTTTTAGCAAAAGGCTGTGATTGAATTTAATACCACTTTGTATTTAAAATTCAATTCAATTTCACTTTGCTTGTTAAAAGAATTTTTAATATTTTTGATATTATTATGTTTTTAGGACCACAGACTGGCTTACACATATATGCGTAAATATTACCATGAGAGATTGTCTAGTGTATGTACATCTAGTTATATACATAGTAAAAATAAATCCACTACTTTTCCAATAGGTGGCTATAGTAATATGTATCTCGCATTCGATTGGGTTACGCTATATTGCATTATAAAGATATGATTTTCTACTAAAAAACTTGGCAGACAGTTTTTTGATTGCTTCGCTCACGCGGCTGAAAATCGGATTACCGTTTATGGTTCTAATACGCTGAGAAACAATAATGCACAATTATGGTTGCGACGATTTCATTCCGGTAGTTTTAATGTCATATATGCACCACGCTCTGGAAGGTCGAAAATATTTATAAAATAATGGAGCCGTCATATAGGCACTCTTTCGATTGACCAGGAGCTAAACATTGCTCAAAAATTATTTGAAATCATTTGAATAAGGCCAAATACGAAAAATCACACGCGAACACACACATAGACAGTGACTCGCTATAAGCGCTAGTAGCTTGGTTGAGAGGTCTTTATTCCTCCACCTTATAGTTTGACCCTTGGTTACTACTCGTTCCTGTTTATTGCAGTTGATTTTGTATGTGGAGAATTCACCTTAAGAGAACCTCGATTGCACCAGTTTTCAGTCAATAGGGACGGGGTTGTTATGAGAGTAGCATTATGAGCTTACCTTGCGAATGCCAACATTTTATCGAATAAAACGAGGCACTAAATCGGAACATTCCAACTATGCTAAATAAAATTTTCAATTTGATGCAAACATAATAGATTTCTTTAAAATTTTGATTCAAAGATTTATCTTCGTAGTAAAGAATCCCACATTCCCAACAAAAGCAGCAGACATCGCAAAGTTTTTACAAAAATCTTGTTAAGTTTGCATTAAACTAAGTCCGTCATACAATATATATTATATTTATTTATTATGTAAAGTATATAACGACCAACTGCTATTTTGGCTGCCTTTACTGCCTCACTAACCCCCTATATACAGATAACGGTCAAAGTTAATTAAATTGTGCTCAATTCATAATCCTTTCGAATTCGCGTGAACTCCACGACGTATACGTAACAATAGTAGCATTGTAATAAGATTACTTAGGCATTTATACAGAAACGCATTTGTTGTTATGCTTCAACTAATTAATACAATTTTTATTTTATTTTTTCACTTTTACTTGCAGTTTTGTGCAGTATAAAAGTCCGATTACAGAACGATTCAACGACGCAATAAGAAAAGAGAGAAAGAGACAAACATTTACAATCACAAGCAGTGATTAACGCGATTAATCAAGTTATATAACCGAAAAATAAAAGATATATTAAATAAAAACCGTTTGTAATCCACACCAAGCATTTTAATCAGTAACAACGCCTCCATATAAACACATACCCATCCGTCACCACACCATCACATTGGATTACGCGCAGCTTTACTTTCGTCCAGAGCCAACTAGTGGCCCCATACCGCAGCAGTATCAACAGTACCAGAAGTACCAACAGTATCAGAAGTATCAGCATCAACCGTACCAGCAGAAGTATTCACAGTATCAGCAGTTGCCACAGCATTACAACTACTACAACTACAACTACAATCATAATTATAATATCACCAGTTCACGTTCCACACCGACCCATTCGCCCGCCCCCTCATATACACATCTTCATCAACACTCACATCATCAGCAACATCATCTACAACAACAACAACTACTTATACAACAACATCAATTACAACAGCAGCAACTACAACTACAAAAACAGCAGCAACAACAGCTGCAACAGCAGCAGCTGCAGCAACAACAATCGCTGTCAAAACAGCAGGCACAACAGGCGTGTAACTATTATACGGCGCCGCCGCCACCAACAACTAACACCAGCTCGAATCACCACACACCGAGTCATCACAGTTCGACTTATAGCGCATACGGATCGTACGGTTCGTACGGCGGCGGTACATACGGCGGCGCTTATCTCGGCACGAGCGGCAGCGATAGCGGCGTAGGCGGTCTCACACCTATCGGCCGCAACTATCGTTGGTATCACTCGAGTGGCAGCGGCGGTAGTGGCAGCATCAGCGGTAGTATTGGCAGTAATTACCTTACCGCCGGCTCACTTGGTGCCACATACGGACGCACGTCGCCAGCGGCACTTGCACACGCGCGCCCCTTGCTCGCCTCCACATCGACAGCGGCAAGCAGCAGGGCTGGTGGTTGTGGTGCCAGCAGCAGCGCATACGGTTTGGGACTTGGTCTGGGGTTGGGCCTTGATCTCGATACCAGTGATTACGAATACGAACGCGCGTCGCTACACTCTGGCGCTTACGCTTACAAATCGTCGTCATCGCGACGTGGCAGCAGTCTTGCTGCCGATTATCTATTGGACGTTGCAGCACGTTGCAGCGTACCATCGCCGGCACTTGAAGCCGAGCCGGATACTGATCTTGAACTTGATCTTGATCTCGATCTCGACGTGGGCGTCGGCGTCGGTGTTGACGTTAACGACGTTGACCACATTGGTCACGACATTGGCTTGGGCCTTAACGTCGAGGATCTTGAAGATCTTGATATCCCGGTACCAGAACCGGAACCAGAGACTGACGTACACGACGAACTTGTGCGCGCACTCGAACTTGAATTCGATTGGGGTCTTGACTACAACACCACCACCACCACTACCACCCATCTCAATCTCGACTTCGACAGCAGCACCGATCTCGTCGGACTCGACGACATCGATATTGACGAAGAAGAAGAGCCGATACTATCGCCTGTGCTCAATAGGTCATTGCGTCCATTCACCTATCCGGCGCTTACGATCACAGCACCAGAGAATAGTATCGCAAGCGAATCACCAATACCAGTGGCGACACCGCCACCGACACCGACGGATTTTCTATATCCGCAGTTGTCCGTACACAGCAACAAGACGTCACCTCAACAGCAACAGCCACAACTACAGCAGCAGCAGCAACAACAACAGCAGCCACAACAACAATACCAGCGCCAAGCACAACACTACCACCACCAACAACGTACAACGACGACGCGTTTACCGCAACACGACGACAGCTGCGAGGAGTTCAATAACATTACCGACGATCCGACGTCCTGCGTCGGCCAAAAAAGAATGATGGTTAGCCGTTTGTGGAATAGTTGTTTCCCCAAATTTACGCCGGAGCACGTGCACCGGCACAATTTCTACCTGTGTCAGGTAAGTCTACAATGAGTCAACTCTCTGTGATCACCATGAACTGTTATTAACCCTCCATCCATGTCTGTAAACCTCACTCTTAGTGGCAACGGAACACCCAAGTGCGCATCGTCTATCTTTTTTACCGCTGGCTAACGGCAATCACCTGCCTCGCTGCACTCGTTTGCTCACTACTCGACATCGGACGCTCCGAAGAGCACTTCGAGAATCATTATGCAAAATGGTGGATCTACTTGACACATTGGGGTCTGCTCTTCTGTACGGTGCAGGCTTGGCTGGCGGCGTGGATTGTAACGCAGGGCATGATGGTAGAGCGTGAGGATTTCGAGGTTGTGCGTCAGGTGCGCAAAAGCCGCCTGCATCATATCTACTGGGTGCTTTACACATGTGCCACCGTGTATTCGTTCATAATAACGATGTGCTATTGGTTGTTGGTGCACGATCCAGGTATGCATCTCAAAGCATTTAGGAATTTTATTTTTAGCTCTTCGTTTCATTTGCAGAAATCCACAAAATAGACGCTTTAAATATAATGGTGCATGTGTTCAATTCGGTGATTATGCTCATCGATTTAGCTATTGTCGGACATCCGATTAAATTGAGTCATGTCTACTTCACGACCGGCATCGGCTTGGCTTATGGCATATTTACGGGTATATACTTCATAGCTGGTGGCACAGATAGGTGAGTACTGATATTTTCTAATTCAAAATTTTCACCTACATATGTATATTATGAGAACACAATTTTATTTATGTGAGCATGTACACGATCTAATTGAGATATATTTATTTAGATTTTTCTTCTCAGTTTTACTCAACAATTTTTCATTTTTTCACACATTTAATTTAAAAACATCGTATTAGGACACTAAACGCGAACTCAACCAGTTAAAAAAATCAAGATGTCATATTATGATGAGCTGCAAAGGCACTGCCTATAAAATACTTGATAATATACCTATAATGCCACTATTACCTAAAATTTCTTTAAGTTCTAGGATAAAATAAGAGCTGAGTTTCTTGCGCCCCAATATATAGAACATTTCTTGTTGTTACTCTGATTTTGTCATGCGATAAAATTTAATATGAGATATTACTACATCAATAACCTGATTTTCGAAAACATTGACAAACAAAGCCACTAAGACTGTAGAACTGCACAAATGCCAAGCCTTCGAGCATATTTCTGCCAAAAAATATTTTACAAAACTCTTTAACCATTCGGTGTCGTCTTGAAAGTTGTAGGCTCTTCTACTAATAGGATAACACTGAAGTCAACGTACAGTTATACTAGATATGGTGAGATCAGCACAGAAGATCATCTATTGTCAAATACTCAGGGGCAAACTTCCGTGGGACCGTTTATCTTTCACTGTCACTGGATCACTGTTTTTTGCTACTTGTTGAAAGTATCTAATAAACAATGTCACAAAAGCCAAGAAAGAGAAAGCAAAATGAAAAATCCAAAATTATTATTTAGTTAAATGTGTTAGTTCCACAAGTCTATCTAACTAAAATTAAGGGATACTTCAAATGTTTTCGACAGATTAAGGATAGCTTGTTCAACCAGTTTCAGTCCAGAAATTTTTTTAGCTGGGGTGCGTCTGGGTCAGCTTGTCGCGACAGATATGCCCCATAAATTATAACTTTCTGATCAGCAGTTTGGAGAAACTATTATATCCAATTTCAGTATACACCATCTGATCAAATTTGACTCGGACTTGCAATTTTTACGGATTAAAACATAAATCTTTGTTATCGCCCTCAAAATAGATTCCTTTTGAGCCAAAAAAGTCACACAAAGCGAATAAGTCTCATTTCGTTTGGTCAAAAATTTAGGCCAAATCATGCTAGAATGTGACAGAGCTTTAACGTGGTAAATAATCCATGAATTTTCTGCCCACAAATTCAGTCGTTCATGACGAATGCTTTCACGTAGGCACCTTAGAACGGCCGTGTAGTATTCCTTATTGACCGACACGCTGATTTTCAAACACTCTTTCTTTAGCTTTTTTGATGTTATCCTCATTAACAGAGGTGGATAGACGACTTGCATGAGGCAAACCGACCATCACTGAATACTTTGTGCCACTCAAAAACTTGTGTTCGTAATCAAATAAACTCCCGAAAACACTTCTGTATTATATTTAACGATTTCGTAGCTGTGATTTTATTTGAAATACAAAACTCAAACCAAACTGGTTCATCACTTTTTTGCATGGTAAAAATCACCTTCAAAACTTTTGTGTCGTAAATAAACAGCTGCCAAACACATACTAAATAATATTTAGAGATCAAACTTCACCGAATATAAAACAAGGTTGTATCAAAAAATTAAAAACAAAATTTTATCTATACGGTTTGTGCGCAGTTTAAATAAATCAGTCCGGGTCAAATTTGATCAGATGGTATATTATGTCTACAAAATAGTTTTCGTAAAGTATAGTTTACGCTGTAAATATTTTGTTATTTTGTATTACAATTTGAGTTTTAATTCACTACAATCATACATACTTGTATGGTAAATTTTAAAACAGTTATTAGATTTTGAATTTTTTAAATATATGTGTATATGTATGTGTGCTTTATTTTATATTTTCTTGATTTGTGCAATAAAGTCATTTTTTAACTGTACTTGTAGTACACTTAATACACGTTTTGCATTTAATTATATTAGATTTATAAATATTTATTTTAGCTAAAATTATACATATGTATTGCTAAAAATTAAAAAACCAAAAATTAATTTTAAAAGCACAAAATATCGTAAAATACATATGGCAACCCTGCAAATCACTTTTTGGTTTGGTTTCCACATCACTATTAAGTTTCCTGCACACATTTACCACCTTAACACTGTTCGCTGTATGCGACATCACCAATAAATAAATAATGGACGCTACTCTTCTCACAAACGCCACAACTTTTTGTTCACAGAAAGAACAACGTCTACATTTACCCGATGCTAGACTGGACCAAACCGGGTAAGGCTATTATTGTCACCGTGTGTGCCATAATATTCGTCTTTGTGGTGCATTTCTGCTGCTATATGCTCTACCGCACGCGCGTCTGGCTCTTCACCAAGCTTTGCATACGCGGCGCGCACAACCGCGACGGTGACATGGGCGAGGGGCTGCACGACGAGTCCACGGCACGTCTAGGCGGCGGCACTTCGCAGGAATACTCGCATCAGCAGCAATATCCGATATTGCATTCCGAGCAGCCGCGCAGCGCGCATCACCATCATCAGCACGGACATCTGCAGCAACAACAACAGCAACAATATCAGCAGCAACAGCAGCAGTTTCAGCATCAGCCGAGCGGAAATGTACAAACGGTAGACATGGGAAGCGGCGGCGTCGGTGGCGGTGGCGGTACACAACATACCACACCGCCTTACTATCCGCAGTACTCTGGCTACCAGCAGCAGCCCGTTGTGGCCGGCGTGAATGTCGGTGTGCTCAGCGCTGGCGGTTACTACCAGCCGGAAAACAATAATCAAAATAAACATCAGCAACAACAACAACAACACAAACAACAGCAGCAGTCACAGCAGCAACAGGCACAACAGCAGTCGCAGCAGCAGCAGCAGCAGCAACAACAACAACAACCTCAGCAACAAAAGCACTCCTCACCCGGAGCTGGCAGTGCATCCGGCTTAAGTCGCACCGTCGCCCACTTGGATGCGGCACAGCGTGAGCAATTCCTGAATCCAAACAAGATTGTGGAATATAAGATGTAAAGGCGTTGTACCCGGCACCGATATACGTTCCACTTGTCCATGAAATTCTTGGAGAAACACTGTGCGCAATGTCAGGCGGCGAAGCGACGTGCCGAAGCCGAGGCCGAAGCGGAAGCGCATGCCAAGGCGGAAGCACAAGCGGCCATCGAAGCGGCGGAAAAGGCAGCAGCCGCAGCGCTCGAAGCAGCCGCCAAAGTCAAATCGGAATGCGCGAAATGCTGTTAAGCGCGTCGCTGCCAATGCCAGCTCCTAGACATTGGCTACACAAGCGGCCGGCCAGTATTGATTTGTTAGCGTCACAGTGTGCCTGCATTTTTGTAACTATGTGTGTGCGTGTGTGTATTGTTGTTGTATGCGCACATTGTTGTTGGTATTAGTTTCAATTTTACTACTAGACAGTGTTCAGTGGCTCCGTTGTTATGGTGTCGGGTATTGGCGTTTGCATTTGAGGTTAACGAAACGGGCGTATGTGCGAGCGCTAGGAAGGTACAAAGGACAAAGAAAGAGAGAAAAACAAAGAAAACTGGAAAATTTTATATGAATACAAATGCGGTATGGGGCCTATGGTGGGGTTGAATAATTTTTATAATCAAATAAATGTACAAGTTAGTGTTAATGTAGAATGCCGAGAAGTGTGGTTAAGGAGAGCAGATGTTTAGTGACTTGTTTGCCGATTCATATGTGTTCCTTTAAAAGCCGAGCTCGTCATTATTTTTTTTTACAAATAAATATTTATGTATATAAATTATTTTATTTGGAAAAGAGAGAGAAAATGGTAACGGTAGATTATTACAAGCGAGAACCATAGCGAAGCTTATGAAAAATGGGGTGCTCAAGAGTTATAACAGAAGTGTTCAACAAAAGATTAGTTAAAAAATGCTTGTATTTTTAAAACAATTTTTTTTAAATTTAAATTATTTTTATTTATTTAAGTAAATTTAAAAAAATTTTAATTTGTTAATTAGCGCGCGCAAACACATATCGGAGTTGCTGAAAGCATCTTTTAAGCTACCATTTTCTTGCTCATTTAGATAGTTTAAAATTATTATTAGCGTGACAGTATTTTCTTAAATATTTTGAGGTTATGATTTTTTTTTTACTTTTAACGTAACAGTATTTTATTTAATAGTATGAGGTTAGCACTACTTAGTTATTAGGAAAATTAAAGTGAGCTGTCAATTACGCCGAAATTTTGACATATTTTATTTTACTTTCCACATTAATTTTGATTTTTAATGTTAATTTGTAAAATTTTCTTTGCTAAGAAGGTAAAAGTATGCGCAAAATGCATTTTAGTTTTAAATTGTTTGATCAAAAATTTTAAAACAACTATTTTATGGTTCACTTTTTATTTAATTTTTTATTTTTTTATTTTTTTGTTTTTTCTTTCAATATTTTTATTTTTTTATTTTTATTTTTTTTGAATATTTTTTAAATACGTAGTATATAAAAAATTTAATTCTAAATATGCTTAAAATCGATTCAATGATAAAGCTAAATGTAACAATTGCCTTATTTTAATTAATTTAAAAAATTATTATGATGTAATGAGGGTTAAACAATTTTTTTCTTTATATTCTACGCATTGAGAACAATAATTCGTGCATAAAATGCAAAAACTAAATTAAAAAAGAAATAATATTTTATTCAATATTTAAATTTTATCACTAATAAATTATTATTATTAAATATAATATTTTTATACAAAAGTACACACATAAATTTAATATTATTTACAATTATTACTGCATTTTGTATACAGTTATTTTGTATGGTTTTAAGATATTTAAATGGATTTGTATGCATATCTGTGTTCGTATGAAAATCATCAGAAAAAAACGATTTTTTATGAATTTTTTTTTTATTTGAAGAAGCATTTTATTTAATCAATCAATAAAAATAATGTACAGTTACGAAATTTAATGTACTTTAATAATTAGTGATTAATTTTAAAGAATATTGGTTTTCCTTGATCCCGTAGCCATCACCAGCAGAACATTAGGTGAGCAAAATATTTTTGCCTAATATTATTTGAAATGAAGACAGGTAATGAACGAAGGGCTAGTCAAAATTTTTATTTTGGACAAAATAGCGGCTTCCCATAAAAAAGTATTTTTTTCCGAAGCTGCAAAGTGGCATAAAAAATTGTAGCTATTGTCAAAATCTTATTCCTTTGATCATTACCTAACAAATATATAATATTAAAGAAGATCGTGTAAAAATTTCAAAAACGCGTTTCAAGCTGTGTTGCAAATTATTTGCTTCAAAAATTTTGGATTAGAATAAATTTTTTATTTTTTAAAACCGATGTTACGATTAAAAATTAAATTTTCATTTTTTAAACCCAATGTTTGGATTAAAAGTCAAAAATTTTCCAAAACGTTTGGGATTAAAAATTTTTAATTTAATTTTTTAAATTAAATGTTCGTTTTCAATCAATTTATTTTTAAAATTCTTCATTATACTTGTCTGCTTAGGATGAGATTTTTATTTTTTTTTTTATATTCTGGTAACTTGACTTATGCCAATTTTGCATACAAACACATACATAAATACTTGTTTTAAATTAATCGTTTAATTAAACCAATTTTTTTATTGAAATAAAAATATTTGAGAGCAAATCGTTGATATTTTTTAGTTGTAAGCATTTTCCTCTTTTTCTTCTTATTCATTTTAATTTTATTTTTTAATAATTATTACAGCCGAAGAAAACATTTTGCATTTATTTTTTCTGCAAGAAAGTAAATTGTATTGTTGTTGTAGGTATTTTAATTCAATAATTATATATTTCCCATTTAATATAAACCAAAATTATTTGTTTTTTTTTATAAATATTGGCAAATTAGTGCAACAGTAAATAAAATTATATTTTTAGTAATTAGAAAAAATCTCAAAATAATAATATTTTTTTTCAAAATAGTATAATTAAAACTATTATACAATTTAATTTTTTACGAGTATTAATTGTGAATTTTTATCAAACATTTTTTTATTTTTTTTTATTTGCAACATACTACAACAGTTATATGTTATTATTTACAATAATTTTTCCAGAAGGTGGTGATATTATATAATAATACACATAATTTTATATAATAATAATATTATTTTATGAGTTTGGTTATTAACTTTTATTCAAAATTGAGAAGAGCTTAAAATATTTTTCTATATTTTTTTTATATTGCTTTCTTCATAACATTAACTTTTGCAAAAGCTAATACAATTTATATTTTTAATAAAAATTAAAACTATTGTATTGTTGTATAAGCATAAATAAATATATTTTGATCAAAACGTAGTAAAATTTAATTATTTAGATTTATATATTTTTAAAATATTTATTTATTTGCATATAAAATATTTTTTATAGTTCAGTTTGTTCATAAAAACTTAATACGACAGCTTCATTTTATTATTTATAATACTTTTTTCATAAGTTATATGTAGTGTTATATAAAATTAATTAATATTAGTAATATTTGAAGTGTTTTGGTTAATAACTTTTTTTTTTAAATGTTATGGTTTAGTCTTTATAAAATTTTCAATGTATAAAAACTATGTTTTAAAAAAAATTTTTAATTAATGCAAAAAAAATTTTTTTTCAATTATTTCTTATTTTTTTTTTAATTTTTTTTATATTTATTTTGATAAAGCTTACTAGTTTTATTAAATATTAATTACAACTTAAAAATATGTAAGTATAAATATTTATATTTTAAACACTTTAACAAAAAACATATTACTTTCACTATTTTAAAGTTAATTTGATGATAATTTATTAAAATATATATTTTTACATTTAAATATTTTTTGTTATTTTATTATTTATATTTTATATTTATTTATTTGCATATTTTCCAAGCGAGAAAAATTTATTGTCAATTCTAATATTTTCGTTATCTGCGAGTCAATACACATGTATTAATATACTATACACATGCATATGTATTTGTGTCATGATTGTTGTGCATAGCGGGTAGTTGGTATATCGGTGCAGGAACCATATATACATATATATATAGAAAGTGAAAACAATAAAAAATATGTACTAAGTATATATATGCAACTAGTGTGAGTAGTAAGCAAAACGTAGTTGAAACGTAGAAAGGCCTTTAATATTCAAAAGATGTAAATTTGTTAGCGCTTGTATGTATTTATTTAGGAATAGTTGGAACGCCAGAATTACAATAAACAAAACAAACAAACAAATACTAAACTAATTAATAAATGGTGTCTACAAGACACGAAAAATATAAAATTAAAATAAATATGCAAATTTAAAATGAAAAAATGGAAATAAAATAAACGCATAAACTTGTGTGAATTTAAAACAATGGAAATTAAAATACACACACATATATGTGAGTGCATGTACATAAATTCATGGAAAGCTGAAAAGCCGATTTATTTTTTACTTGGCTTATAGAAGATCATACTTGCAGAACACACACAAAAAAGGTGTTAAAATACTGACTAAACCGAAAAAATAAACATCAATTACTATTATACATACTTACATATATTATATAATATTATATAAAGTAAATGGAAAAAAAAAATGAATAAAAAATTGGTAAAAATTAATGCTTAGCATGTAAATGGCAATGTCATAACAATAAAAAAACAATACAACATGTAATCAAAAGCAAGAAAAAAATTACTAAATTTAATTTAGCATTACACTGTAATATTAAAAAAAAAACTATATATTGTATTGTTAAAAAAGCAAGCCCAAAAATGTTAAAAAAAATACTTGAAATTTGTTAGCAATGTGGTAGTGATTAGTTGTAAGACATTACAAACACAAAAGCAGAAAAAGAAATAAAAAGAACAGAAAAATAAAATAAAATAATTATGTTAAAAATATATATACAATATAAATGCAGTAATATATATTTACATTGCATAAAAGAGTGTTTTCAAAGAAAATTAAAGAAATGGAAAAAATATTTTCGGAAACCTCTTCAAACGTTGAAACGAGTTGTGCGTAAGTTAAATAGTAAAAAAAACAGTA